AAAATTATTTATTGGAAATTAAAAAAAGAAGTTTATTGTTAAATTCAACACTTTAATTTAACCCTATGATATTTTTGTCAATATTCTACAAATATTGATCGTATCCTGAAACATTTCATTGTTATTAAATTGTAACTTTCTATACTGAATTAAATTTCCAAAGCATGTAAATAATTATTAAGATATTTATAGGTATTTTTGAAGTTTTCATAAAAAATATTAGGCTCTCTAAGATACTTTACAATTTAATACAAGATCCCACATACATTTTTCCCTATGCAAATGAAATATATTTAAAAAACATTAGGTTTACTTAGGACTTGCTAATGAAATACTAAGTTCCTCTTAAATATTTCATATTGGGACCAGAAATACATTACAATATAGACATTGAAGTTTAAATTCATATAACATCAGACATTTAAATGATGAATAACGATTTTAGTTACTTCGTTGTTTTTATTAAAAAATATTGTTCACTTGGACTTAAAGCTTTTATATATATTATTTTATTTTACTATATTATTATGGCGTTTTCAAAATATTTTTATTCATTTCAAGCTAATATTTTAAGTTTATTGGGTATTTATACGTTGGGTATAACACGAACCCAACACAGTTGACCGATCTACGGAAAGTAGATATGATAAAAACAAAACATATAAATATGTATATATAGGTACTAGGCGGTAACCGAGGCGGTAACTTAACATTAATGCAATTATAACAATTAATAATAATATAATTTAATAAATGTAATATTTTCACCAGGAATGAATTCAACCTTACAGCAGAGTGGTTAAATGCAGTTACCTTCCAAATCCTCACTTTTTACATTTTTACTCCTACCTAAGGATCTACCCCACAGACAAATTATATATGTATAGGTATTAGCTATCATACACAAACATGATTGGACTTCGGCGACACTTTAAAATGACAAAATATCAGTTGGTACCTGGCAACTATAGCACAAACACAGTGGATGCTTTCTCCGCGTATAAAATCCATTGATAAATATAGCTATAATCTACATATAATACTTATAGGTGTAATAATCTTTATGGACATTTTTACAAAATATATTATACCACCCCTCACCCACCTCTTAAATTAGGTCTGGAACTTGCCAGACTTGAACCATGTCCTCGGCACCAATGTGTGTATATACACACAATCAAAATGTTGCCAATCAGGACAACTCCTAACTTCCACCATCCGTTTCCCGCCAAATAACCACGGCACCAGATACAGCTGTCGATACGCTCGGTATAATCGCTATGTACTACTTTAAACTTACACATAGGACGCCGTGGACTTACGAGTTGGGGACGTCGACGATTATATCTCTGTTATCGCAGCATTTTCTGACGCATGTGTAATTGCCCCGGCCGCAGTACTGGTCGCGTGGCCGGCACGTCCTGGCCACCAGCTTTGACATCAGCGACAGATCGATGCAGTAAAACACCGACGGCAACTCGATGGTTGACGGGTGTGCCTCCATCAGCCCACGCACCTCCTCGGTGGGCACGTCGACTAGCACTTCCTTTTTGTGGCAAAATGATTCTCCATCATAGGATATCTCCAACGTCTCATCGGCTGCCACCCGGAATCTGCTTCGCAGTCGATTCATCAACCACTGCTCGCTAACTTCCTCGGCCGGTCTGCAGAAGTGAACGTCCGGATCGTACATATGATCCACCGGGCAGCACTTCCTGACCCTCACGGTATTATTCATGGAGGACGCGACTCTGCCGCCGATCGCGACAACGAGAAACGCCACGGTGGCGGTGAAACACAATCGGATGGCATTCATTGTGTGTGCACACTGTTCGGGCGGCGTCAGCACATCTACTATCGCGACTGTCGGCCGCTGCGTATTGTGTCATCCAGTAATGAAGACCATTCGATGAGCAGCCGCCGCCGCCGACCATCGCGCTCTTATATAATATTATAAAAAAAGGTATATAGTGGTTTACGTTGCCTAAATAATATTATATTATAGTGTAATGAATTTCGATTATTATTTGCATAATGTTAGGTTTTACGAATAAATTGTCAATATTATAATTAAATACCTACCTATATTCTTTCGGGACAGGTTATTGCGTAAATTATAAGCACAACAAAAACACTTCGTCGAACTCCGTTTAAAAAAACTGCGGAGCAAAAACCACATCTTTAAGCACTATAAATATGTAATATTGTAAACATAATGCCAAGTAAATTGAATTAAACCCTATGGTAAAAATTGAAGCGTCAGGGTGTAAAAAATATACCGGTATAAAGTTAACTCCTGGGTTAAAATATACTAGGATATAGTTACCCCAAGGTTAAAAATGTTCTATTTTATATTCTTTATACAAAATTCATCAAAAATACAGAAATTTGTAAATGTTTTTTTAATTTATAAACTGTTTAGTACTAAGAGGACGTCGCACAAGCGAATCTATAGAAAAAAAAAATCCCCAAAGCTATAACTAACCATATTGTTGGGTACAGCTGTCAAATATAATAATTAATAATAATAATAAATATATACAATTTTAATGATAATTATTATATTATTATAATATAAATTAATAGGTACATAAACTATTGTATGATATTGCTATATAAATATTTATTTATAAACGGTTAGGTATAGTCCCTTTGGTAATAAAAATTAAAAGTACGGTAAGTTGAATATCAATTTGGCAAATATCATACTGGTCGCGTGGCCGGCACGTCTGGGCCACCTCATCGGACGGCGTCAGGTCGAACCAGTAGTCCAGTGGCAACATGATTGGCGACGAGTGCGCCTCCATCAGCCCACGCAGTCCGCATGTATTAACTAATTAAATTATTTAAAAAATAAATTATCGGATATTTTTGCCCCGGATATTTTTGGTACTGGATATTTTTTCACCGGACCAAATGTCGCGGATCTTTTGTCGCCGGATATTATTTACCGGATCAAATGACGCGTCACCTTTTTGAAATAATAAGTGTTTTCCGTTACGAATAACCCGGTATAAGAATTAAATACCTTTAGTTTATAACCCGCAAGATAAATAAAAGGAAAAATTAAATTCAAAGAAGATCTTTTTTTATTGTAAAAGTGTCAAGATGTACGGTAACCATCGAACAGCCATTAACGTCTATATTGCACGTTAAAAAATTAAGGAACTTAATGTATGTGTTTGGACACATGACAGAAGTTAATACATAAAACTGATCGGAATTTTAATATTTGAACACTTACTAGGTATGTAAATATTTTATATTTATATTTTATATTTTATATTCACACAATTTTAATATTTCATAATAATCGTTTTTTTAGGTAACGACAGGCGCGGATTCAGGGGGGGGGGCTATGGGTGCTCGTTCACCCCCTGTCGTCTAAGGCACTGTAAGCCACTAATAAAATACATTTGTCTTCAAAATTCTAAAATAGAAAGGTGTAACCATTTTTTTTTAGATTCTGTAGTTTATAAATTTAAATTTTTTTTTTTTTGTATTTGTCATCATTGTATTTGGGGAAGTACAACTGATTTTTTCAACAGAACCTATCTCGATCGATGGAAAAGTGAATATATTTGGTTCATTCAGAAGGTCAAAATTTAAAACTAAAATAGTTTTAAACGCGCCTAGAATAACAAAATAAAAACTATGATCAAAAATCACATGATCAAAATATTTTGACTTGTTTTGAGCTGTTACGGATATAATACATTTTCAGGTTTTCTAGTTTTTTTTCTATGATTGCCAATACAATTTTATTTGTTGGGTAAAAAAGCTTGAAAATTTAATACAAAGCTCTTAATATATTGTTACAATGACATATGAAAAATATTAAATATACAGTCTCAATTTTTTCTTATAAGCATTTAAAGTTCAAATTTTGACAAAATACGTAAAAATCAAGAAAATTAATATTGAATTAGAAATACATAAAAATTTCATTTTTAAATCTAACGTTTGAAAATTTAATACAAGATTCCTCATAAGTATGTCTACCTTTATCAAAAAAAAATGTCTACTGAAAAAACCAATTAAATTTTTACATCATTGGTTATTCTCTCGATTTCTCATGTACATCAGTACATGTATGGCATTTACGACTATTCTAACAATTATTTTAAGCAAACCAAGCAGACTATATTGTTAGCATGTTTCACTAAAGTTCATATTCCAAATTCGTCAAAATCGTAAAAATCACAGTTGTGCCGCTCTAAGCATGGTCAACTACCGGTCTATATAGTTCTATACTCCACGCTAAGACCGATGACCATGAGTAGTTTGAGTCTAAAACCGGGGTTTCCCAATGTTAACTGGTTATGCTCTTCACGTGCGCTGAGTATATATTGTTATGATTGTTTAAAATTCCGGTATTTTCGATAATTTAATAATTAATCATTTCATACAACTTATCAAATCAATTGTACGCAAATTAATTGGTAATATTCGTAAATTGGAGGAAACTTTTGTAAACTAAAGTTATTTGTTCATATTATTAATATATTTTTTCATACTGTCCAATAAAATTGTAAACTATTTAAAACGAAAATATGATTTTTGTGCTAACTATTACTATTTTTTACTGAAATTATAAGATTGATTATATTTTTAATAGTGTTTTTCAAGTTAAGTTACATATTACACTTATCAGTTATCAATGACAATCCTTAACTGTTAAGATCCTAGAAGAACTTGAAAATTATTTGATTTTCAACGACGAGGTGGGTTTTTTCTTGTTATATTATATGTTACATTATATAATATTATGATGACTGATATAATTTTTTTGGGTTATATAGGTAGAATAAGTATTGCATATAATTTGTGGAATAATAATAAACGTGTGAGATCTAAATGGGTGCAAAGTTAAAATGCCAACTTAGGATAATATATTGAAGCCTGAGGTCTGACTTGACTAAGAATTATATTATAGCCTTCGCAAGTTCTAAAGCCGTGAGTTCTTATTTTATTCTTCCGAAAATCATCTTCACTCTTCCATTACTGTTTTAGTAGTGTAAGGTATATTTTGTTTAAATAATCTAACTTGCATATTTTATTTTTATATAGTGTCTAAACTCTAAAGTAAATAATGCTTCTCGGTATGTAAATGAATATCCAAACATATTTTAAACAGACCGAAATATTTTATTTTGGAATCTTTGTTGAAAATCATCGATATTTATTACCTTTGGTACTCGTCCAATAATAATAAATAATAATTTAATAAAAATAGTTATACTTTCATTAGCTTATAATACTTTTATACTTCTGTTATTTTACATTTTTTTTTTAATTTTTATATATAATATATTATTAATTTGTAAAAATCAATTTGCATATTTTTTGAATATTTATGATATGAATCTGCATATTTTGTAGATTTTTATTGCATTTAAATCCGGGCCCTACTAATCAACAATGTAACAGAATCTGTATTTTATTTAAAATTAACCACCTGATACTCTTTTAATTTATATCATATTACCATTTACCACTCCAAATTACTTATTATATTCTTGAGTAATGATTTACGATAATTATTTATATCATGTTATGTTTTACAAATTGTCAATATTATTATTAAATACCTACATATATCAGTGTGGGTAATCGCATAAGTAATAAACACACCAAAAACACTTTAACACTTCGTCGAACTCTGTTTAAAAAAACGGCTAAGTAAAAAAAACAGATCTTTAAGTACTATAAAGATGTGATATTATAAACATAATTCCAAGTAATTGAATTAACCCTCCGGTAAAAATATTGAAGCGTCAAGGATGTATAAATTTATTACCAGCATATATTTACCTCCCGTAGTCCCGTGTGAAAATATACTAGTATAAACTTACTAAGGTAAGTATACTAGTAAGGTTAAAGTATACTGGGATAAAGTTACCCCCCGTAAAAAATGTCTTATTTTTTATACTTTATACAATACTTGTCAAAAATACAAAAATGTGTAAATTATTTTGTAATTCATAAAATGTTTAGAACTAAGAGGACGTCGCACCCGCCAATCTAGGAAAAAAACCATACTGTTGGATACAGATGTCAATAATAATAATTAATAATAATAATAAATATATTATAAAATTTAAATGATAATCATTATGTTATTACAATATTGATAAATAGGTACATATTATATTGTATGATAATTCTATATAAATATTTATTTATTTGTTTATTTATGGATAGGTATACTCTTTGGTAATAAATATTTAAAGTACAATAAGTTGAATATCAATTTGACAAATATTATACTGAAATTAAAAATATTTTGTTATAAATGAGTTAATATTTTCAAGATTAATCGTATTTCTGTTTATGAATAATAACATCTTAAATGATTTTTTAAATAAAGTATTAATATGTAATATACTACAACTATAAATTTTATAGTAAAAGTCATAACTAATAAGTAATAACATTAACTATACGAAAAAAAGTAATAACACCGCAATTATTTATATTAAGTGTATGATAGTAATTAAACAAATTTAAGTATTCAAAATAAAATTATAAATTTGTAACTGAAGTCCTATCTCAAACAAATAGTGGGTAATTACTTATTACATATGTTACGGGCAATGTGGAATACTGGGCAATGTGTACATTGCCCGGTCAATGTGGTCCTGCCCGATCAATGTGAACCACGATGTTTTGTTTTACCAACTAACATTATTTTTATTTTTTTATTTAATTTTATTATTACCCATTTATAATAATTATCATAATAATAATAATAAGTTATTTTTTATTTTTTTTAAATTAAACATGAAATACATTTAGCTATTGTGCACGGTGGTG